TGGAGGGGGTGAAGGGAGGGCTAGGAATGGGGAAAAAATAAGAACCAAGATGCATCATGTAAAGGTACAAGTTCCCAATGAGAAATGTAAATGTGTTGTATATCTAAAATGTACCAATAAAAGAATTTAAGAAAAAAAAAAAAAAGAAATCCTATTTCACACTGGAGCCACCAAATATATGCTTGCTGAATGCATATATATGTAAAAATGTAATGGAGCCACTGCCTACAGAGCTCTTCTCTCTTTTGGCTCTTCTTTTCTAAAGCAAAGAAAAGAAAAGAGAAAAAAGAAAAGAAAAGAAAAGAAAACACAACAAAAGAAAAGAGAAAAGAAAACTAAACATCTTTATTCTCCTCCCTGACTTGTCACCTCCCTCCCAAGAAACAGCTTGCTACCCACTCAGTATCCCTCCCTCAGACTTGCTGCCCCCACAAAACCTTCTTCTTGTTTCTATTTTTCACATATATTCTATAACAATACACAGGCAACAAGAGAGCTCTATTTATTCCATTTAAATAAAGTAACAAAACTACCATTTAAAAATATGACCCCTGGGCACTGGTAAAGTGCTTGCCTGGCATACACATGGTCCTGGATTCAATTCCCAGTTTCACTGAAAAATAAAATCAATAAAAATACAACTATGACAATATCCCAAATATTCAGTCATTATGTAATGAACAAAAACACATAAACTCCCAACAGTATCTAGAGAGTGTATTGACAAGTATATCATTAATAATTCCGTAACGATCAAAACAATCTTGATAGTGTAAAATAACGAAGATTTAGATTTTGTTCCTGCAACATCTTAAAAGAGTTAGGGAAGCCAAGAAAGCCTCTGTTCCCCATTACCCATGGTGAGGGACTCATGCGACCTAACCTGCTGGACAACCAAGCAAGAAAAAGGATCTACACCTTGAACCACTATAAACCTCCTTTTAACACTGTCTAACTAGAAGTTCACATGTCAATTCTGCTCACGTGTCACTGGTTAAATGAAAACTGCACAGCTATATGTAACTATAAGAGGGCAAGGAAGTATAAATTTACCCTATGGGCAGAAGAGTACAAACAGAAATACTGCCGATCAGTACTAGCAACTATTGAGATTGGTTTTGGACTAGAAAAAAAATTCTAATTATGACCTTTAATGATAGTTTTCTTTTAAAAGAAGGAATTACAAATAATCTTTATTTTTTTCTTTCTACTTTTCTATTTTTCCAACTTTTCTACAATGTATATAAACATTTCTAGGGCCGGGGATTTAGCTCAGTGGTTTCGTCACCTGCTGCACAAGCACAAGGACCCAAGTTCGATCCCCGGTACCCCAAAAAAAGGGCAAAGCTGGCAAGATCCAGATTGTAGAACTTCTCACCTTGATTAGAAAGAATGCTTTGAAAAAAAAAAAAAAAAAAAAATTTCTATAATACAGTTAAAAAGAGATTTTTAAAAAAATGACACCCAACTGTATCAAAGGGAACTAATACATACTCCAGAATGGAATCACAGTTAAAAACAAAAATTATCTACATCCCATAGTAATTACAATCTCTAACCAAGGGAGAGCTATTTTTCTAACGTTGATATGATAGTATACTTGTTTGATTTCAACTTAAGATCCAACCAACCATTCCCTGTCATTTATTTCTACTTTAAACATTCAAGATGTTAATACCTTACCCTGTGGTATTAATGTAAGAGGTTATAGTGCTTCTCAAAACAGTGGAGGAAAGGTTCTAGCCTTCATCTTCAAGTTACCATTTCTGTAAGTATAATTTTTTATTAAGAAATGATATATGTATGTTTTAAAAAATAAAAGGTCAAAAGAATGTGAGAGTAGAGTCATTTCCCCTACCTCTGTTATCTTACAGTAAGTTAATCTTACCTATAATGATGTTATCACTATCCTATATTATTTATCTGATAAATAGACAAAGTATTTACATCGCAGATGACTAAAATCTTTAGAAAACATTTTTTTTTTGGTACCGGCAATTGAACTTGGGTCCTTGCGCTTGCACAGCAGACGGCAAAACCACCGAGCTAAATCCCCGGCCCCTGAAGAAAACATTTTAAAACCATGTTTCTTCACATTTTAAACCTTTCTAGCCTAAAAATATGGGTACTCTTGCTTACTCGGTTAAGTGGATAAATTACTTTAAATAGGTTCTACTTGATATATAGTACAACTACTTTAAAATATGTCTTAATCATGCTATCGACCAGAAAAAAAATGGCAGCTTTAAATGCTTTAGAGAAAATTTCTTTATCTAAAAACATTAAACTTAGAGAAATGAAATTACATTTGTAAAATAAATTTTCCAATGTTAATAAAAGTCATTATTTCCAAATCTGGTATGCCAAAGTAATAACTTGTTTCAAGATATACAAAACAAAGTTTTAGAAGTATGCAAGGTGAAAAAGCTCTGAAGAAGCTCTAAGACCTTTAATTAATTTTAACAGAAAATAAGGAGCAATTATCACAAGATACAAACACTTCTGTCTCTGATACTAATAAATAAAAACATGCTGAAGCCAGTCACTGTGATGTATGCCTGTAATCCCAGCACTTTGAGACGCTGAGGCAAGAAGATCGCACATTTGAGCCCAGCCTGGGCAATTCAGTGACTTAGAAAGGCCTTGTCTCGAAATAAAAAAGGCTAAGGATATAGCTGAGTGTGAGGGGGCTGGGTTCAATCCTCGGTACTATAAATAAATTAATAAATGCATAATTTAAAAAATAAAAAGGTGCTGAGACTAAAATGATTCATCCAAGGGCAGGGATTTAGCTCAGTGGTGCAGTGCCTGCCTGAGTTCAATTTCCAGTACGGGGGGGGGATAAAATAAAATGATTCATCTGTATTTTCATTACTGGCTCATTCACTTGTAAAGAAAATATTTTTAGTGGACTAATGGTGTCAATCAAACGATTTAATCTATGATGAATACAGTATTATCATTTCTTTGACTAGGGCAGTATATATTACTCAGGTGTCTTAAAGCTCTTTGTGTGTAATTATACCTAAATTATATTATGTATAAACATCACAAAAGATGAAATATTAATAATTAAAAATAGACTAGGTTACAGTTAGAAGATGTACTAGAAAGTCTGATTTGTTGTTGTTGTTTTAGAACCGGGGATCGAACTCAGGAACTCAAGCTTGCCAGGCAAGTGCTATGCCGTAGAGTTAAATCCCCGGCCCATTCTGATATTTTTTTAATGGTCTTTGGAACTTTATATTTTTTGTGAGAAGAAATTATTTCAAGCTGGGCATGGTGGCCCATGCCTGTAATCACAGCACTCAGGAAGCTGAGACAGGAGGATCACCACGAGTTCAAGGGCAGCCTAAACTAATAGTGAGTTCAAGTCCAGTCAACTACACAACAAGACCCTTTTTCAAAAAATTAAAAAAAAAATTATTTCAAATGTCATTTATGTTACATGAATAATTTTCAATCTTAAATCCATATAAATAATTTTCCTACCTAGGTCTGTTACTTGTCGATCAAATGGGCAACGTATTGCTCTTCCATGAAGAGGTAACCGAGTGAGACAGTCATGACAGACTGTGTGGCCACAAAGCAGAAGGCGAGGAACTTTATCTCCTTGCAAAGAAAAGACATCTTCACAGACTCCACATTCCAGAACCTAGTATTTAAGACAGAAACAAATAATTTTCAAAGCATACATTTTTGGAGTTTTAAAAAATGTGACCTATTATAATGAATTAATCTTGTTACTTTGTTCCTTTGTGGAAAAAAAGACTTCCTGTTTATAAAACCTTAAATCACATCTTAGTCATTGCATCCAATAGACCCTGACAAAATGGTCATACTAAAATCTCGTTGAAATGCTTTGTTAGGGACCAAGATAATGGTGTAAATTAGTATCATCTTTTTTTTTTTTTTTTTGGTACCAGGGGTCAAACTTGGGACCTTGCATTTGCAAGACAGGTGGTAGAACCACTGAGCTAAATCCGGGGGCCCAGTATTATCTTTATCTTTTAAAAATTGAATCAGTAACAATATATCATTCTACTCATATTCTCATGCAATTTCTCTGCAAACAACCTTACCCCTGTTAAACTATCATTAATTTCAACAAAAATAATCTAAAATTTGTGGTAGAATGACAGTTGCCCTTTTAAATGATAAAGAACTTGTAAGAAGAGATTACAAGTAAAAGTATCTTCTAGTGTCCGTTTACATCAAATAATGTAAAGGCAAATAACCAATCAGCTGAAACATAAATTTCAATTCTGTTATTAGTAAGTACTGCCCTGAGTTAGAAAATATTTGTCTATCTAGTTCCAATATAAGCACATCACTTGTCTAAAGAAAGGCTGTAAGAATTGGATCTTTCTGATTCTCAGTTCTATGAGTTTATATTTTATAAATGGTCTTCAGCGCTTTTATGCCTATGCATAATTGTCATCTGTTTATCTGTAGTGTTTCATATCTTTAATCAATTAATTAAAAAATACAATTAACTGGGGCCGGGGATTTAGCTCAGTGGCTCTGCTGCCTGCCTCACAAGCACAAGGTCCCAAGTTTGATCCCTGGTACCAAAAAGAGAAAATACAATTAACTGTTCTATTGTACCCCAAACTCCTGGGCTTCCTACTCAAGATCAGACCAGGTGTGGTGGCACATGACTGTAATCCCAGCACTCAGGAGGCTGAGGCAGGACTGCCATGAGTTGGAGGCCAGCCTGGGCCACATAGTGAGTGCAAGGGCAGCCTAAACTACACACCAAGACCCTGTCTCAAAAAACCAAAAACCGGGGCAGGGATTTAGCTCACTGGTTCTGCCACCTGCCTTGAAAGCACAAGGTTGAGTTCAATCCCTGACACCAAAACAAACAAACAAACAAAAAAACAAAAACAAAGAAACAAATGAAGTATTCCAGATCAGCTACAATTTGGTCCACATCTTATTTTTTCCTAACATACACTCATCAGACCCTAAGTTCCAAATATATCATATAGATTGTACTTCCAAGAATACAACAAGCTCTTTCTTGAACCATAGTAATGTTGAATAGCTGAATGATTTCCTCCTAGATTTTTTTTTATTTTAATGAATTAACCAATTCTTAAGTAATTTTTATCTCTTGGCCTACAGTTCAATTCAACTAAAATGACCACACTGTGCTTTGGATCATTGTCTACAATTAAGACCAAAACTTTTAATGACATCACTAGCTTTTCAATCTATCTTTCCCTGTTGTAACAAAGAGCCTGAAAAAGGATATTCCAAATACCAAGAATCTATGTACTTATATAAACAAAGCCCAACAAAATAAAAATTTAAAAACAAGTCTACCACCACTGAACACACAAGGTAAAAAATAGAGAACCCAGGATGGAAATCTGTCTAGATAGTTACAATTTTAAATTTAACTCTGCAATTAATTTGCACTTAGTAGCTGAAATGCAAACATCTTTTACAATAAATTGGTAATTCATAACTGCCTTCGTTCAAAAAAAACTTGAAAGTTTATAAAAAGAGAAAACTCTTTAGATATCTGAAAGTTGAACACCTCTTCAGAGAAATGCAAAATAAAACTATCAAGATATTTTCCAAACAGTTAATAATATTGATAAAGAGAGATATAACTCCCAACCTGATGTGCCAAGTTCGGGTTCCCTGAAATGGAAGAATGAATTCCAAGGAACAACAGAGGGTAAGAGTGGGAAAAATTGGGCCGGGGCATTAGTTCAGCGGTTCTGCTACCTGCCTCAAAAGCGCAAGGACCTGAGTTCGATCTCCAGTACCAAAAAAAAAAAAAATGGGCTGGGGATTTAGCTCAGTGGTTTTGCCGCCTGCTGCACAAGCGCAAGGACCAGAGTTTGATCCCCGTTACCAAAAAAAAAAAAGAGTGGGAAAAATTTATTGAGAGAGAAATAGTACACACTCAAAAGGGGAATGTGGGTGCACAAAGTAAAGAGACACACAATTGAGAACTGGAGAACAGGGATGGGAAATAAGAATAGCTCCTGAGAAACAAAAGGGGTTTCAAATGGGTTGCCAGCAAGGTCATCTCTCTGAGGAGGATGTTTTATAGGGCAAAGTCACGAGGTAGATACAATGTGGGCCAAACTATAATCAACCAATAAGATTACAAGTACAGTACAGTATTGCCACTTAGCTAATGTTGATCCAATAGGGAAGTGGGGCACATAACAAGGGCATAAGGATGAGATCATTAAACTTGGTCCATATCTATAGTCTTAGTCTTGTCTTTAGTTTTAGTAGTCTTAGTCTTAGTGGGTGGGAGAGGATGGCCCATCCCCAGTGAGATAATGATCTATTTCTATGGGAAATCCCCAAAGGCTGGTACCAATTACAGTATAATCTCAAACTTCCATTCATCACTTAGGTAAATATGTAAATCTGGCCACTGTGACTTTAGTCTCAAAGTCCTCCCTTCTCCAGCCACAGTTTTGATGTTTTCATCTTCTGCACTGACTCCCTTGAGGACCTAGCCCTATCTAATTGTCTATTAACTTCTATCTAACTTAGCTGTCTATAATATTTGTATTAATAAAAGTGCACAAAAACAATCTCATACACTGCTGATTGCTGTGAAATATTCATCAAGATGGGCCAGAGATTTAGTTCAGTGGTTCCTCCGCCTGCCTCACAAGCACAAGGCCCCGAGTTCGATACCCAGTACCAAAAAAAAAGAAATATTCATCAAGAGATACAGCCTCTATGGAAGCAACTTGGCAATACTTATCAAAAGTTTAAACAGTTCAGTAATTCGAGTTACAGGAATTTATCCCACAAATATATCAAACACATGTGAAAAAAATCTGTATGTGGGCCGGGGATTTAGCTCAGTGGTTCGGCGGCCTGCCTCGCAAGCACAAGGTCCCGAGTTCGATCCCCGGTACCATAAAAAAAAGTCTGTATGTTATTCCTTACAGTGCCATTTGGATCATCAAAAGATTGGAAATAAAATAAATATATATCAATACCAAACTGGAAAATAAATTATGGTATAATCATGTTATAACACTATGCGTATTAATAAGAAAGAAGTTTTTATGTATGCACACAGAATGATTTCATACAAATAAATCAAAGAAAAAATAATAACTAGAATACATTCATCTTGTGTAAAGCTGAGGAAAGAAAGCAAATACTTCATACATCATAAGCATACTATCTTTCTGGAAGGACACATAGGAAACCAGTAACAATGTAATGTTAATTTTCTGAGAAAAATGAAACGAGGAGAAAACTATCCATAAATTACATTACACACATTTCAATGTAGCCTAGGAAGAAAAAAGTGTTACTTTATCAAATTCAATTAAATACATAAAATATTCACAGTAGCTTAAGACATAAAATAAAATATTAATGCTTTCATTGTAATAATAAACTTATGACAATAAGCTCAAAAGGACCAAATTAAAATTTTACTTAGTTTATTCATATCTTATATCTTTGACCCCATCTCAACACAAGATAACTTACTCACGTTGCCACCACAGATTTTTTTTTTTTTTCAAAAACACTAGCAGCCCAGCCAGGCATGGTGGTACACACCTGTAATCCCAGGACTCTGGAGGCTTAGGCAGGAAGATTGCAAAAGGTTTGAAGACAACCTGGGGTACCCCGCGAGTTCAAGGCCAGCTGGAACTATATAGCAATATCCTGTTTCCAAACAAACAAACAAACCAAACCAAGAATAAAAAAAACAACTATTGGCCAAGTGTGGTGGTGCATATTTATAATCCCAGTTACTCAGATCGCTGAGGCAAAAGAATCAAAAGTCCAATTCCAGTCTGGACAATTAAATGAGACTCTCTCTCAAAATAAAAAAAATTTTTAAAGGCTGGGGATATAGCTCAATGTATGCAATACACCCCAAGTTCAACTGCCAGTACCACTGCCACCACACACACACATACACACATACACACACACACGCACACAAAGCCATTTTAAAATTCTTCTGATTAGTAAACCAAAAGTCTAAAAATAACTTATGAGTACATAACAGAGCAAGAAATTCTCTCCTGAGAATCTATGAATACAAATTATAGCTAACAGCATAAGAAATTAAATCTTAGGAAAAAAATTGTATGTGTCACAAATAATCAAGAAAACTTCAAAATGTATTATGTGTAAATCCAATTTTAATAAACCAGGCCACATTTTAAAAGGGTTTCTAGGAAAAAATAAACTTTTTTGTGATTCTTTTTTTTACATGTTAATTACCTCACAGTATCAGATTTTTGTGTTTTTGCTGATGATCAAAAGTCCTGTCATTATCAACTTGTTCATTTAATAAGAGGGCACTTTAAACAATACTAGAATTAAATAATTCAAGTTTACCTTCCAATGAATACTTCTCACTTTCTTAAAAAACATTCTTACTACATTGTTCAGGAACATTTTACATTTAAAGATGAAAATAAACAAGGTGTACCTCTGCTATATCGAATTCTATGCATTAACAAAGCATTACCAGGTTTTGGTATACTTTTGAGATGATAAGGCAAACACGGTAGCAAAAATATAAATGGCATTGATACCTATTTCAATTATGGAGTGAAACTTCTAGTTCACAAATAATCTACAGATATTTTCTACTTAGAAAAAGACAATTCAAGAATTAAAATCTCAACTATCCAATATGCCTAATAGGAGCCGGGATTTAGCTCAGTGGTTTAGCCACCTGCTGCGCAAGCACAAGGACCTGAGCTTGATCCCTGGTACCCCCCCCCCAAAAAAAACCAATATGCCTAATAATGAGGGTTCCTCAGCTATACCAATTCCCCCAAAATAACATCATTAATATACAAAAGTCAATGGAGGGAGAGGGAGGGAAAGGAGGTGAAGGGGACAGATGTAAAAAGAATTAAGATGTAGTAACCAAGATAAAATTATTTTAAAAATATATACAAACGGGGCTGGGGATGTAGCTTAGTGATAGATCACTTGCCTAGGATATGCAAGGCCCTAGGCTCAATCCTCAGCACCACACACACGCACACACACACACACACACGAAGGTCAATTGATTCAACTACCAATATTGAGTCACAGGTATAAATATCTCATTTGTAGTCATATAAAACCAATCTTAGGTGAAAAATCATAAATACCTATAATTCATGATGTTGAAAGAATTTCAGAGATCTGGTTCACTGGTTCTGAATTGTGGTTGCACATTGAAATCATTTTCAAGAACTTAAAAAAAAAACCATACTGATGTCAACAGAGTACATCAGTAGTTTTCACAAAGTCCTCAATTTTCCTAATATGTAGCCATGAATGAAAATTACCAATCTCTTGGATTACAGATGACCTTGGGGTTCACTCTATGAACCATTGAAATTTTCTTTTCAGATCTTTTCATATTGTAACGGAAATCATAGTAAGTCCTACCTATTTCAATTGATTTTTTAATTTTTTAGTGAATGCATTTTGGTGCATTTATACGTGGGAGAATCTCAAACTTGAAACATAGATAATTTATATATCCTCGGGTTAACGCCCTATGTTGCAGTTGGGAGACTTCTTAAAAGTTCTGAAACTGAACTACTAAGAGAGGCAGTAATACACGGATGACAACAAAAGCAACCCAATAGTGGAAAACGCAGACTTTAGAGCCAATCAACCCTGAGTTTTTGTCATTATTATGTTAATCTAAACCTGTTTTCCTCCATGTAAAATGGGAATTGGCATCTATCTCGTAAGTAAACACTGACAAACCAAAATACCTAAGTAGTTCCTGGTGTTCACAACAGCTCAATTTAATTTTTAAAACGCTAATCAAGCCAGGCATGGTGGTACACTCCCGTAATCCCAAGTACTCGGAGGCAGTGGCAGGAGACTCGAGTTCGAGGCCAGCTTGGATTACATGGTGAGTTAGTTCAAGGCCAGCCTGAATTACGTAGTGAGACCCTGTCTCAACAACAACAACAAAAGCGAATTAATGCCTGTTTAGCTTAACTAAAAACCAGGAATTGGGGAAAGACCTCTCCTAGTCACTCCTTCAGGCCTACAAGGTCCTTTTCACAAACGTCCCGGTTGTCGATGTTAACATCAGGCATGAGCCGACCAGGCAACTTCAAACCAGGGGGACAAAAATAGCAGAAGGGAAGGCAAGACTAGCAAGACCAAGAGGAGCTCAGTGACCTCGCATCCTGTCCATCGGAACGTGGGCCGCAGCGACGCAGCCAGGTCTCCAGGATGAACCGAAGGGAGGACGACGGTGGAGAACAGAGCACGCAATGTCCCTCACCTTCACCACAGCCGTTCCCCGGCTGCCCTGTCGACCACTGTCTAGCCCCGCTCCAGGCTTGTTTACAACCAGGGCAGCCATCCTGCGAGGAGAGCCACAGCAAACAGCCCTCGGAACCTCCAACTGAGGGGCGGGGTTGAGCCATTTACCCATAAGGCTCTGCTTACGCAACTGGCGCAGAGACGCCGTGCGAACCCGGGAGCCTCCCGCCACCATCTCTCAGCCTCCTCCCAGCCATTGGCTGTTTGGCTGCACAACCTTGCGCATGGGCACATTGTTTTTCACAAGGAGCTTGAAACTGACAGAAGAAAGATATCAAGGGGAACAAACGAGATAAAGCACAATTTAAGGTTTCAGGATAAAATCTTCCCTCTTGTAAGGATTTCTCCTCTCCAGTTGGATACCAATCCCGGTAGAGATTGGGGAACTACATGTCCCTGCATGCAATACGATTTTTGTGTAAATTTAAAATCCCAGCATACCACTTCCTGTCTTTTTTTACTCTAGTGTAGACGTCTGGGGGGCCTGAAATGTAGCTTCCTGAAGTCTTGATGTGTGATTGGAGGTGCGTAGGCCTAGGCATAGGTATATAAGCGAGAAGAGATGGCCTTGGTGACAAAAAGCCGTTGGGCCTGTAAAGGACGTAGTAAAAAGAGAATTTAAGGTACGCCTGGCAGAAAGAAGTGAGAAGCTCATTTGACCCCAGGCCTTCCCAGGCGAGCCCTGTTGTTTTCTTCCGGGCCAGCCTGAACCTCCCCGGCCCCCGTAGGCTGTAGGTCTGAAGTGCCCGTCAAAATGGAAGTAAACCCCCCCAAACAGGATCACTTGCTGGCGTTGAAAGGTAAGCTTTTGAAAACTTGCTCTCCCTTTTTCTGCTTTCTCCCTTCTCTCACTATTTCTTCAAGTTTTTGCCGCCTAGACTTCGCCTTTGGCATGTAGGCCTTGTCCTTCTTAAACTCTGTTAGCGGTCGCCCTCTTGCTCTCTGTATCTTGGCACAGAACGGTAGGAAGCGATTTCAAGCTTCCGGTTTTTAGGATTAAGAGCTGCCTACTAGAATGAAATGATGCTTGATAAGTCACTGATTTGTGCTGCTGCAGTCACCAGGTTATTTAGGTACAGAAGCAGACGTCTTGACCCTGCCTAGGAGATCTCTGTTGTCTGGAATAAATTACAGCGAATTTAAAGTGCTTTTTCCTTTTCGGCTGTTCACGTGGCACGAACGAAACTAGGCTTCAGTTTTATCTGTAGAATGAGTATTGCAAGGTAATGTCAAAGATTTGGCAGTACATGGTACTACATACAGCATGTAACAAATTTAAAACTGTTTGGAGTTTATTTTGGGGGTTTTTTTTGGTACGGGGATCGAACTCAGGACCTCGCGCTTGCCAGGCAGGCGCTGTACCACTGAGCTAAATTCCTGGTTCCTTTGCAGTTTATTTCAAAGCATTATGTATGTAGGAAATAATGTATGTCCAAAATCTCTTATCAATTTTCATTTTTCTGCACTTCACAATTTCGAGTGAGTTTGATGATTTAGATTGCCTAGGAAAATCTTCAAGAGTAATTTTCCTGAAATCTTTTGTTTGAATTTTAAATTTTATATCATAAAAAATAGTAAATTTTTATCATGTCTTCTACCTCAAATGCATACTTATCTCTCAGAGTTTAAGCAACTTTTCTAGAGATTACAAAGCTAGTAAGTGATGGAAGCAGTGCTTCAAAACAAGGCCTGCCTCCATTTTTCCAAGATAATTTGTTGCCTCATGAATGAAACAGCATTTTCAGAGATCATTACCTTGCTGACTACTTTGATAAGAATTTGGAACAATTCTATTGGTTGCTAGTTGTCATTTTATACAAATTATACTGTTACACACAACTAAATTCCAGTAATATGGAGACTAGATGCCATCTGGAATTTTTAGATTTCTGTTACTCTTCCTTTTCAAAAATAAGACAGTGAAAATTGAAACAGTGTATTCAAGCAGACTAAAAGGGCAAGTGCTTTCAATTTCATTGCTAGCTTGAGCTTTATTAAGTCTCTGGTGATATTCTTCCCCCTTTGTCCTATTTAATCAAGAATTTTACAAGTTTTAATTTTACTGATATGGGATACCACATATATCAATTTCCATGGTTAAGTTTGCTTCCTTAAATATTAGTATCTAAAATATTAAGATACTACCTTGTTACTCTAGAAAAGAGAAAATTTTATTTAAGAAGAGCTCTCACAACTTCATTTGTCTCAAGTATAACACCTCATAAATTCAGACAATGAAAACATTCACAGTGTCCTATCTTACAATGTGAAAGAGTAAGGAAAGGAGAAGGAAAAAAGTAAGGAAGAGAAAAGGAAGGGAGAAGGAAATTCTTGAATTTTATCACATAGTTAGATCATATTAAAATTATGGATGAGTACAAATTCCCAGTGATGCATGTGACCATAATGTATACCTAAAATGTACCAATAAACTTAATGAATAAAATTATGGCTGTTAAGGCTCACAGTCATGTACAGATTTGTCAAGTGTGTTAGTGGACATGAATTATTTTGAGATTAGTTACTTAACTCTTTAGAGTCAGACAATGACTATTGTACTATGACAGGAGTTCCAACTCATGGTCATGCTAGCAATGGAAGAACCTTCATTAATTCTTTAATGATTTTTGAGGGAATAATTCAACCTCTTATTTTTTTCTAGAGTAGTTGGGATATGAAAGAGTACTTTATGCCTTTTACGTCTTTGGGCCTGGTTAGGAAGCCTAACTTGCAGGTCATGGAAGGCTCCATTCTTGGACCAGTGTAGTACATGCTGGAACTTATTGTCAGTGGCTTCATTCAGGGCAACTTGAGAATTTGTGTTCTAGGAGAAAAATAAGTGTAGACTTCTTGCTCTTCCTCTAGATTAAAATTCAGTAGCTGTGGTAGTTGGATCTCAGTATTGCTTAACATTATACCTATACCTTTATGACTTTGTCATAAAATCAGCTACTGTCCTAGTTAAAATGCAAGGTTAAACTATTTTCATGTTATTTTTGTTTACTACTGAAAATGAGATATAATCACTAAATAGTGTATATATATATCTGCTAGATTTCATATCATTTTAAAGTTTAAAGTAATTCCTTTTCCCCTAGATAAATTAAGTTAGTGATACCACTGACCTCAATTCACATGTCTCAAATTTTGAAAAATTACATTATATGGGGGCCGGAGATTTAGCTCAGTGGTTTCGCCGCCTGCTGCACAAGCGCAAAGACCCGAGTTCGATCCCTGGTACCAAAAAAACATACAAAAAACAAAACAAAACAAATTACATTATATGAATCCAATATTTTAAGAATCACTAATTTATTTTTTGTTTCAGGAGTAGTTTTAGGATTATTTGCAGTTAATATTAGGTCTTTCAAGTCCTTTATTTTTGGTTGAGTTAAACATATTTATTTTGGTGAGAAAGGATTTTCAAGTTTGTGGATTGCATTTACCTTTACCAGTAGCACTTTATTGAAATATCATATTGGAATTGGTTTTGGTTTTTTCTTTTCTCCCTGCCTATTTGTATGTAGGCAATCCCTACCATATCTTATTCTTTGCAATACTTCCACTTTAGGTCCTGTTTCCTCTGATTTGACAAGAAAGACAATCTTGTAATAATAAGTTATATTCTAGCTCTGAAGAAATTTTCTCTTCATTAGAAGTAACTGGATTACTGCAGAATGACCACAGAAGTAATACTACATTATCGACCATATGAGAGTGATCCCACACAACTACC